GGCGGTATAACATGGAGTGGGGGTAAGTCACCGTTCCGGGTTTTGTGGTTAGACAAAACGTTTACATTGTCTTTCATGAATTAGAACACAACAAAGAATTTGGTAATCTATGGATTACATTTAAAGCAAAATTGAAGACTCACTGAAATAATTAGAAAAGTTTTAAAAATTCAAAAATATATTATGAGTTTTATTGGTGACATACCTGTTTTCGGTTCTCATAAAAAGCTTGTTTATTGAGAAAGATTTGCCTTCTATGATACGAAATAAAAAGAAACAAAAGATGAACATTTGCTTACCCACAAAGTATGGCATTTGATATTAAAACAATTCAAATACGTATTAATGATATTTCAAATGTTATATATAAAAGAGAGTACCAAATCAGTGCCATTTATTACTACTTTTGCTTCCTTTCAAATAACTTGCCCAGTATATTTACTTAAAGGGAGCAAAACCAGTACATACGTGTATAAATAATATGTGGTTTTAACAAAGAGAGAATGAATGAATTTTTAAATATTATGCTCTTTAATATCTAAAAATTATAAGTACATTGAGCTAAATCTTTCATTGGTCGTTTCTATAAAGCCGATCAGTCGAAAGCTAGATAAGAAACCACAATGGTTACTTCCAATAGTTTTTGTGAACTTTCAAAATGACTGGTGTTAACTATTATAGGATTGCTATTATGTTTTGTTTCCAGAATATTACAAAAGAACACCTTATTTTATTTATTTTATATATATTTTATTGCACACATACACCAAGTAGCAATACATTGGATACTATGACCGAATTTTGTGATTAGAATGGGCGGTCTTATCACACAAGGTGATTTCTTTCAGGCAACCTTTAGATGGAAGTGTATAAAATAAATTTGGCCATGGGTAATGTAGTGTACGGTTAAAACAAGGACTACATAAAGAAGATATAGTATAAAGATAAAGAAATGCTTTAGCCTGTTTTAACAGATAGGCTAAAACGATTAATTACCTGAGTAAAGTCGACTCTGTGGGTGGTTTGAATTGAACGATACCCACAAGATACACCCAAAAGCAATCGTATATTGCTACTTATAATACCTTTTTTCGTTTTTTAGCACACCGTATTATTTACTGATATTACAAATCCGAAAGGTACGATGTTTGGATTTTGTAACTCAATCATGCTAAAATGTCTGCATGTATCTGGATGCAATTTGGCACAGGCATATGAAACACTAAGAAATAGAATATAGGCTACTTTTTACCAACATACGGCGGAAGCTAGTTATAAACTACTACGCCATACTCGTATGTTGGCTACGCCGTAGCAATAGTGCTACGACACACCGTATACTACTTGATTGATACTTGATTGACTTTGTGTATTTATTTAATTATTTTTAAGATGGACTAAATGCCACATTCATTCTCTGCCAGTCGAACCTTTGGTTGATGTAGAGTATACTTTAATGAAATATAAATGTTAAAATTTTCATATTACCTCCTTATGCTAATCACTATATCACTAAGATGATATAAAAATAACGGATATTACTTCCTACCAGAACAATGTGCACGGTCAATAAAATGGTTTAAAAGAAACGGGACTGTCTAATCCCGGTCCCTTAAACTAAAATTCTTTAGAAAGACCTCTATTATTGTTTGTTGTTCTACAATAAAGGACTAAACAAAGCGTTAGCACAAAATATAAAGAACTTTTCGAAAGATTTATATTTATTATTCACACTCTAAATTATAATTTATATCTGACTAGAAATGATCATAGTAGTTCACAATGAATTACAACATAATGTTGGCACCAAGAAGTATAAATTGTATACTGCTCAGTAATACATACATTCAAGAACTGTATAAGCAAAAACTATAGATTTTCAAAAATAACTTCATTACTTTGATAACATCAAGTTTTATTATGCACTGTTGACTGCATGTTAACATTTACCTATTTAATATGTGTAATGTGTATACTTAATTGACATAAAAATTCAATTTTTTTAGCAATTAAGCATCTATTTTAATACCTGATGATCTATTTATGAAACCTCACATGTAACAGGAGATTACATTAGGTAACACCTGTTTACCCAAAAGTGGCAAGGCTGGTATGAACTAGCCCATGTGGTATTTAAACAAATAATAATAAGTTAAACGTTCAAAGAACCTTTTTTTTATAAAATAATAGAAAATAACAAAAGGTGTGCGATCCACAGTGAGAGATAAGTCAAAACAAACTTCTAATTGTTTCTGGGAAATGTTTGAGTAAACGCTGGAGTAATTAGGATGAACATGTATATACGTGAAGTGACTAAAGACAAATAATATGTTTCAATTTAGCGATGCAATCAAGGTTGGTAGTGTCTTGAAATTCATATTTGTCTTAGAGGCGGTGATGAATACATCTGCAAGCCATTTACCATTTCGATTGTCTACGAAACATAAATACATCAAAAGATGTCCTAGTTTGATGCCAGGATCTTGTTTCCATTGCTTAGTCACAAGCTTCGCGCCGTACCCTCGAATATCAGCAGCAGTGTTTCCGGTTGAGGCCACAAGTGAAAAAACAAGGATTAATTTAAGCTATAATTGCTTAAATGCAGGGTATAGACTTTCATAAAATTGTTTCCGAATATTTAAATTCTGTTATTTGAGAAATGTGTGTATACACTATTGTGACACTATTATGCTTTTCTGAAGCACAATATGTGAAGATCTAGGGGCTTTGGAATGCGTATATCTAGTCTGAAGAATACGTAGCTCTAGCAGGTCTACAGTCTCCTGTCCTCCGGTGCAGAGATGAGTCAGAAAAGAAAAATGACATATTGACATAATTTTAAATTTACTACGCCGCCAACGAACGCGAGCTTCCGCTCACTTTTATCTTACTTTTGTGATGATATTGTATATAGAAACCCAATACTCACTGTAAACTGAACTCAAATCCCTCTTTGTCGTCGGTTGTAGTGTATCTTGGGACGATGATGGTCCAGCGTCAACAAGATCAGCGGCAGAGGCCCATTGACTGGCTTTCGCTTCTCACCAGGCCACAAACGCTTGTCGTCATCGAGAGTTTTCTGAGAGCTTGCGTTTTCTAGACTGTACATTGAAAAGCATTCTTTGGCATTTGTCAATTTAGTTATGACAAATCGCGTACGGTTGTTCAAAATACAGTGGGGGTAAAAATTCCCGTTTATATCCAGCATTCAAAGAATTTTGGAATATAGGAGTTTGCAATAAAGCAAAGTGGTCGAGTTATTCAATAAAAACAGGATTTTAAAAAGGATTTTTTTTTTATAAATTTAACATAGGCTTTTTGTAAAATTTATAAAAAAAATATTTCCGAGTTTTAGTGGTGATATTATTATTTTATGATATGATAAATCAATGCACTAGTTAAAGTATTCGAAGCTTATTGTATTAGAAATACACTATTAAATGACACCAAATATAAAGACACAATTAGTGATCATTAGAATAAACTTATGATTACAATAATGATATGAATCTATTAAATAAGTCAAGTATCAATGCGAGTAGTAAAAAAAATTCTGTATGTTTATTACTTTTTTTACTTCTTTGGTACTTTGTTTTTAGAAAATAATGAAGAACATAAAGTTAAACTACAAAAAGACAATTATGGATTGATAGCTTTGTATCTGTCATATTAATCATTGTTACAATGATAAAATTGTCAACATCGTGTGTTCAAAATGGGAATGCAATTCAAACATTTTATTTTATTGTACATACACTAGCCATGACGCTTTATTATGGCGTTTTACGCCGAAAGTATCGCTCAATTATCATTTCCGAAATTTTGTACTATATGAGAGAATAAAAGTAACTGCCCGGCAGTCCATAAATTAAACAAACTTCATGGCACCGTGAGTGATTAAATTATCTCGATAAATTTTAAATATTAAAACATACTCTAACAAATTCGCTGAAGTCAGCGCTTATAGTACCTACAGGGAATCCTAGTTTAAGTGACTGTAATTATGTGTTGTAATGTTAATTTTTAAAGACTTTTGTTTGTTTGTCGGTCCAAATCACCACAATTCTATAGCCTCCATGTTCCAACATAATGTATTAGAATGCTAACTTGTTCGTTAGTTCGTTTTGTTTGAATGAAAAATTTATTGTTGTTGCAAGAAAACTCTCGTATTCAACTTCATGTACAAGAACTCAGAAAGAGATTACTAGGCTTCAAATCAGCTTGCACCTACTTACTGGTATACGACATAAAACATCTTAGCGAATTTAAGACAAGTACAAGTTGTAGTTACAAATAATAAAAAAGGGTTTACTTTGCTTATGAAAAAAGAACCAAAAAAGACAAAAGATTTGGTATACCATCTTCGAGATACTAATGATTACTCCTTATAATGTCTAGAAACTGTTTGAATAAATGCAGGAGCGACTAGGATTGATATGCTTTTCAACTATGACTTCAAACGAGCACATTTATATTAACTAAAAAAGAATTCTTTGCGTTCCGCGCGGAACGAAACTTGCGCTGTTAGAATCTTGGAAAGTCGCTATCGAATAGTTATGACTCTACATTTTTTTAAGAGCCTCTATCATTTGAAATTTTATTAATCGATGCCTAATTATTTTCTTACAATTCATATTTCTAGTTACCTTGCAAGATGAATTGCAAAATAAATTACATTTTAATTTATATACATCCATATATAAGTCTGGTTATAGTTAAAAATGTTTATGTACAAGTTTATTTGAAATTTTATTGCATATTCACAAATTTTAATTATTGTTATACTCAGTGGGTGTAATATCACAACAATAAATAAAAGAAGCAAAATAAACTTTAAATTCAATATTTATTTATAATTTTTAATTGATAACGACTTCTCCCTTTACGGCCAGCAAAAAAAAATCCAGAGCCGACCAGCCGATAAAAGGCGCCAAAGATGGGGTGACCACTTTTCCTTGAATCTCCAAGACGAATATAGACCAGACGGAGTTCCATATTCTTCAGATAAAATCTTCAGATTCTAGAGCTCCGTAAATCTGGAGTAAGTCGTCTTGAGCTGAAAACAAAAGTACAAGTTGCTTAATACAAAATCAGTCAAAAAGATTAAAGAAGAGTAAGCAGGGTTCTCAAATAGATTTTTTACGAGAGAGAAAGAGTTACTCACAGAAACGAAGAGCTATCTCTTGTTCTAACGCAGTCTCCAGCTGCAGCAGTGGCGATGGTGTCTGGTGCGTAAACTGTGACGGCGTTGGTAGCTCTGTCTCCGGAGAATTTGGAGATGCTACAAGAATAAAAGGAAAGATAAGTTGTGGGTTACAAACAAAATAAAACTAGTTTGACACAAATAAAACAGCAATGCAGCCTTTTCTTATGACTTAAGAAAATAAAAGTCAAATACTTACGGAAAAATGAAGATGGCAACTGTGACTGTGTTCCAGGGAACGAGGGCCCAGCTTCCGTAAGGTCAGTGGTTGACACCATTGTCCCACTCCCACTTACTGGCACTAATCGTCGATGCCTACAATGATAAATAAAATAAGTCATAACGCTTCAAACAATACAGTCAGCTTGAAAGTTGTAAATTTTGATAACTTACATTGGGATCGCAACCTGCGGCCTCCGCTAATTCTGCCTGCGCTGCGGCGAAGTCTTCTCGCCGCTCTCTCTCATACTGCGCATTTCTTGCGCGTCTTTCTTCCTAAAACCAAGTACATTGTTAGTATAATAATGTTTAGTCAAAAACAGTAAGTATGCCACATATTGCTTATGACAATTGGTTAATACGAACCAGGGTTAGAGGGATGTGTTTTGCACCGCTAGGCCTTCCACGCCTTGGTCTGGAGGCCTTGGAGCCTGTGGCCGCTTCTACTTCGGGATGCTGGCTCTGCGAATATTATAAAATATAAAGAAAAGCTAAAATAAATACAAAAGAATATAAATCTACAAGTTGATGAGACTTACTTTCTTTGAATTGTTAGACACCTTTACTGTTTCCAGTTTTTCCGAAAAATAATGTGACGTTATCAATCTCAAACTAGCTGAAGTAGCACTGGTTAGCTTGCTAACTGAGTACTGAGTGCAAAATTTGTGCTGTCTGCGCGTACGCAGGTTTGTTCAATATACAGTGGGGGTAAGAAAACCCGTTGTTATCTAACATTCATTGTTCATGATGTTATCTTTGTTTTTAAAGAATTGGCTATCAAAAGAATTTTGGAATACTGGGGATTGCAATGGTCGAGTTTAAAAGAAATGGAGATTTTAATTTTAAAAAAGTTATTTTTATAAACATGACATCGACATAAGTAAAATTTATATAAGAGAGAGAGTTTTAGTGGTGCTATGATAAATCAATGCACTAATTAAAGTATTCGAAGCTTATCAGAAATATTTTACTTAATGACACCAAATAAAAAAAACAATTAGTGATTACTAATTGACATTAGAATAAACTAACGACAACGGCATATAACGATAATAATATGAATCTATTAAATCAATACAAGTAGTATCTGAGTAGTAAATTAATTGTGTATGTTAATGACCTCAGCCGAAAGCTGGAGGAGGAACGGGGGTGTTTTTAGTCAGTAAGAGTCTGACATTTCCTCCTGCCCGACCATGGGCGGGAGAAGCCATTTGATGATTGTCCCCTCACAAAAAAATTTATGTAAATAAAACTAAGTATTTCTATCTTATAGTATCCAGTGTGAAAGATAAAAATCTTTAAAGGCTTGTTATATGGGAATAGGATTATTGCAAAAACCTTGCATGATTGTGTTACCATCGTTTAAAGCACCCAATGTTTTGTCACATTTATATAAATTAACAGATTTAAGATCACATATCAAGGGAGTAATGAAATATCAAGGGAGTAAACTACATGATCATCGATATATTTGCAAAGCATCAGAATGTCCCTATTCTTCAAATTTAAACTCATTCTTAATATTAACTAAACAATAAATATATATTTAGGTGATGGATGTTATAATAAAAGTAACGGACACATATTATATGGTATTAAAATATTATCAGAAATATTGTGTAAGACTGAGTTACTACCTCCTTAAGGTATCAGGTGGTACAAAGTAATTCCATCGAGATTTTTAAAAATTCAATTATAGCACGGAGTCTGGCTCTGCATCCATTATGAGGAAATAAACCCTCCTAGCGTCCATTAGACCATCGGATTTAATAGGATGGCTAGGCATTTTCCGTTTACGCTCTTGTACCCAATATATTCAATACAATTTAAGCATAGCCGAGGTCTTTATTAAAGTGTTTCTTCATCAACATTTGTTTTTTAGTTTTAAACTTTACTGATTCGAAATTATGAGTGTTTCAAATGCCTTGAATGGATTACAAAGACAGCGATAATTCTTTTATTGTAGACCCATTAAGCGTCATAATACTTTGTCACAAAAATAAATCTTCTTGTTTAAACATATTTTATTATTAGTCAGTAGAAATAAGTAGACACTCACCTACATTGTGCCACACAAGTTTGCGTCTCACAATGCAGAATGCAGACCCACTCGTTACCACAGAAATTGTATGTATATGTGTATAAAAATCTTTAATAAAATACCCCAAACTATCAATGATTACATTATGAATCATTACTTATATTAAGGTTGTTTAAAGTCAAAATAAAGCATTTTAATAACTTTTATTTAATTTTTTATCTTGTAATTTTGTAAAAATGGATTAGATAAATGTACAAAAGGAATAAGTATATGATAAACATTGTAAATTGTGTGCGCATCGTGGTGAAATCGAGGACCTTTTCTCATTTAATTAATGTCTACTACAAATACAAATCGAAATAGCAAAATGTGAACAAATTATTAGTATTTTACACATTAATATTTTTTTATCACAATTATGCGTATTTTATTTTGCCTCACCCATTAAAAACTATAACTGAACTGAAGAAACAAATACATGTCTTTAGTCTTATATTAAATCATAAAATATAGAAAATTTAACCCTGATTAATATTTACCAGAAGCTAGCATTACCAATCAGTTCATTAAAAACAAACTAATAATTCTTTCACACACGAACGGTGCGAAAAAATTGGTTAATGTTAAAGTTCAGATAAAAATTCTTTGTTTTCAAGTATAAGTCTTATTTTATTCTCCTGAAACCTTTCGATTTTATTTTCCTACTATTTCATTTTATTTTCCTAAGATACTTGATAATAATGTAAAAATAGTTAATTTATTTATTAAGTGTCATGGTTGCTCGAAGGTAAAATGGAACGTGACTCATTGTGCGGGTCTTGTTATTCTAACATGGGACAACACATTTTATGACCAATCGTTTAAGATCATTTATAGATCAGGCCCTAAATATGAACAAAGAAACAATACTAACTTTTGTTTACCTACAATATGGCGTTAAAAGAGTTATTGTAATACGAAATTTGCAAACTAATACCGTACGATTCTATCTTAAAGAAACTAGAACAATATACACCATCAATAAAATATAGAAGGGGCTTCCGAATCCTGGTCAAAAATATACAGTTCTTAAGAAAGGCGGCAGACATTAAGAAGTTTTGGTACAAATTTGTATGAATACTATAAAATGTATTTTTTTTTCATTTTCGCGAAATACGGTGGAATTATGGCTTCGCTGATTTGACAGTGAGGGGAGTTTAGAAACGATGCCACGTACCAAACTCACACAGAAACGTGTGCAGCGTATGGTTTCGGTATATGAGCGGCATCCTTACACTTCAACTTGCCTATTTCGACTGCACAGCATAAACTATTAGAAATGGTCTACGGAGTGCCGGTAAAAGGAATAGAAAACCAGCGAAAAAAATTATCCTAACTAAAGCTCATAAAGCAGCTCGTGTCCCATTGTTAACTATATACATACTACTTAAACTGTGATTTAAAAAATTAATATTTTCCTTTTTGGGTTTTATGAGAAAACCGGGAAATACATTTTTAATTATCGCAACTACTAAACAAACTAATAAAAAAATTTGACAGGACTTGACCTGGTGGTCTTAAAAGCTGTCGAGCATGAGCTTGGCCCTGATGTCTTGTAATATCATCGACGGATAAATATTATGCTTTACTGGTAACATTATAAGAAAATAAAAAAAATAAACAAATCATTTATGCTTACTCACCGAACTCCAGCTCATACAGCTTCATAAATTTCCCTAGTTTTTTTTTTTATGTAATAGGTCGGCAAACGAGCAGACGGATTACCTGATGGTAAGCAATCAGCGCCGCCCAAGGACACTCGCAACGGAGGAGTTACGAGTGCGTTGCCGACCTTTAAGGGATTAGGGATTTGAAAATTTAGGGATTGAGGAGGGATTGGGGAAGGGGAAGGATTGGGCCTCTGGTAACCTCACTCACACGGCGAAACACAACGCAGTGGTTATTTCACGCCGGTTTTCTGTGAGGCCGTGGTATCACTCCGGTCGAGCCGACCCATTAGTGCTGAAGCATGGCTCTCCCACACCCTAGTGCACATCGTGTTATCCGCATCGTGACTAAAAACAAAATTCGGGACTCGGTCATTCAAATTAAAAATATGCTTATATAAATAAACTCTTACTTACCATTATCAAAGAACAAGGCGCCAAAATGTTTGACTTTTATATAATTATCACAATTTATTAGTTTATATCGGGTACAGTTCTCACTTACTTTAACTTTTTAGGCTACAATACTTAGCACAACATAATAAGTCTATTCTTTTCTATTTTAAAGAACAATATTTACTCAAATACATCGAAGGCGGATCACATCGTAGTTTGTAATTGAAACTTGTGTTACCATAACGGTGTCAGTTGGAAACGAAACATAAAAACTTCATAAAATGCGCACTTTGTTTTATTTCAAAATTGACTAGATATCTCTGTCTTAACTATCTTCGTTGTAAATAAGGCAAAGTTTTTCTTTTGGTTTTAGAGAAAGATTCATTGATCCCTTGATTGTTTCACGGGATTCGAACTCGAACGTTAGACGAGATAATTTTTATATTACTATTCTGTCTTATCTAGGTTTTCGAACTTACTTAAGGAACTTTCTTACCTACTTTATCATTAATTAGGTTGCTATAGTAAGATATACAATAATTTTTATTATGTATAATAGGCTAACGCTTGACTTCAATCGCACATAATGGAAAATGTCGATGAGGTCTACGATGTTACGCGTTTGCCTACTATTGGTGTATTGTATAGAAATACAAAAATGACTTTTTATCATAAAATTAAGTTTATGTTACTATGCATTTTTATTACCAAAAACTATAGTAAGATAAATTTAATTTTAGATTGAGAGATATTGTTAAATTCAAGAAAATTACTTGTGTTTTTGCTAAGTAGTCTTACGCTAATTCGTAACTTTCACTACCTACTGTTTTTCTACTACACGTGTTAGTAGTTAAAATCTTTTTTTTGTATACAAATGTTCATTTCTGACTCAGTAGAACGGATATGCAAACGATCTCCGACAAAGAGATAAGAAAAATAATGATTACTCCTTATTATGTCTGCAAACTGTTTCAATAAATGCAGGATCGAGCAAAAAATGGGCGAATAAATGAAGAGTTTTGATATCTATGATTCCAAATTAACTAAGAAAGAATAATAATAGGTACAAGAATGAATGTAACTGAACTTGCCCTGTTAGAATCTTGGAAAGTCGCTATCGAATGGTTATGACACTACATATATTTAAGTGCCTATATCAAATGAATATACTTTAGTAATGGATGAACACTTTGATCCTTAGTAGTTTTTTACAATTCAGTGGTTGACCTACATATAAGTTGACTTGCTAAGAAATTATATATTTTTTCTAGTTTCAGTTTGACAATGTTTATTTAGTAATTCTTTGAAAATTTAGTTATTTTCAATATATTATTAACAAATTTCTATTCTCTATATAAGAAAAACCTTAAAATAAAAACATCAAAAATATTTTCAAATTGTACATTTATTAATCATTTTTTTCATCGACTTCAACTTCACCATCTACGCATTCATTCCATCGGCTGCACGTCTTGCAAAAGAAATGTAGAGCTAAACAGCCGATAAAAGGCGACGAAGATGCGGTAACCACTTTTCCCTGGATCTTCAAGACGAACATAAACCAGTCGGAGCTCCATATTCTTCATATTATATCTTCAGATTCTAGGGCCCCGTAAATCTGGAGTAAGTCGTCTTGAGCTGAAAACAAAAGTACAAGTCGCTTAATACAAAATCAATCAATAAAACTATAGGAGAGTAAACAGGGTTCTCAAATAGATTTTTTACGAGAGAGAGAAAGAGAGTTACTCACAGAAACGCAGAGCTATCTCTTGTTCTAACGCCGTCTCGAGCTGCAGCAGTGGCGATGGTGTAGTGTGAGCAAACTGTGACGGCGTTGGTAGCTCTGTCTCCGAAGAATTTGGAGATGCTATAGAAATAAAACAGAAGGTAAGTTGAGAGTCACAACAAAATAAAAATAGTTTTTTTTTTTTAAATAATACGTTGCCCCACACTAGGATTTTCTCCTGTGTCGTGGGTGCTGTTACAAACATACAATTTCACATACACAAGACACCCAGACCCGGAACAACAATTTGTGGACCACACAAAGAATTGTTCCGTGCGGGAATCGAACCCGCGACACGTTGCACGGCAGCCAGTTGCCCAGCCACCGTACCAACCGTGCAGTCAAAGTCAAAGTCAGTTTGAAACAAATAAAACAAAAAGTCAAATACTAACGGAAAAATAAAGGTGGCAAGAGTGAGTGTGTTCCAAGGAAGGAGGGCCCAGCTTCCGCAAGATCAGTGGTCGACACCACTGGCCCACTACCACTCACTGGCACTTGCTCTGCACCTGGCCGCATGCGTTTCTCATCTTGAGACGCCTCCTGCGACAGCTTGCGTTTTCGAGTCTGTAAATCAAAAGTTGTTTCATATATTAATACCAACAAAAGTAATAAATAGCGATTTTATATTTTATAAAGTGCATAAAGAAAGTTTCAGTTCAAATTTCAAATTTATTTTATAAGATGTTAACTGCTCTGAGAACAAGATAATAAAATGACTGTGACTTACATTTGAGTCATCGGGCTCTACATCGTCTTCATCACCGCTTAACACATACTCGGGCCCCAATCTCTCAAAACAACTGGCAACTATAACAATATCCACGTGTTTTTTTATACGCAATAAACATTTCAATTTGGTATTTTGCAAGAAATTATTTGACCCTTACTTTGCGCTTCCAGGTTGGAATTTAGTCTAACATGCTCCTCAATGCTCAACTCTTGAGAGGCGTTCTTCAATTTCGTGATTACGAACGCCATCAAGTTAATCGTCGATACCTACAACAATTAATTAAATTAGTCATAACGCTTTAAACAATCGTTCAGCTAGAAAGGCATAATTTTCATAACTTACATTGGGATCGCAACCTGCAGCCTCCGCTAATTCTGCCTGCGCTGCGGCGAAGTCCTCTCGCCGCTCCCTCTCATACTGCGCATTCCTTGCGCGTCTTTCCTCCTAAAAACACAGTACAAATTAATATTATATATTATTCAGTCACAATCATAATGTTTGTCAAATATTACTTGTAACATAGGTATGGTTTGTACGAACCAAGGTGAGAGGGACGCGGTTTGCACCGCTCGGCCTGCCGCGCCTTGGCCTGGATGTTCCGGAGCTTGTAGAAGTTGATGGCTCCGGTTGCTGACTCTGGCCCTATTCAACAGATAAAATTAGTTTAGACACACTACATAATGTCACACAAAATCTTGTGTTTACAAAACAACTAGACTTACTTTCTGGGAAGTTTTTGACACCTGCACTGGTTCCATTTTTATCGCAAATATAATGTAACTCGACTGTTATGTTATACGTAGCAGAACGCGTTGCAATTGCACTGGCGACTGGATGCTTGCCAACTGTGTACTGAGTGCAAAATTCGTGCTGCCTGCGCGTACGCAGGGTTTGTGGGCGGTACAAAATGGAGTGGGGGTAAGTTACCGTTCCGGGTTTGTGGTTAGACGAAACGTTTACATTATCTTTCATGAATTAGAACACAACAAGGAATTTGGTAATCTATGGATTTACGTTTAAAGCAAAATTGAAGACTCATTCTGGAATTATTAGAAAAGTTTTAATAAATTCAAAAACTATATTATGAGTTTTATAGGTGGCATTTCTGTTTTCGGTTATTATGAAAAAAGGTAAATAAATAATCGAAATAAAAAGAAATAATAGATGAACATTTGCTTACCTGCCTAGTGTGTTTACTCAAAGGGAGCAAAACCGGTACAAAATATGTGGTTTTAACAAAGCGAACAAAGATTTTTTATAGGCCCTATATTATCTAAAACAAAAGTATAAGACCATTGAGCTCGATCTTTCATTTTTTGTGATTTGCACACGTCAGTCTTTACCGTTATCCTCTAAAAAACCGATCAGTCGAAAGCTAGATACTAAATACAATGGTAAAATGGGATAGCTGTTATGTTTTGATTAAATAATATTCTAAAAGAAAATGTTAAGCCTGTTTTAAGAAAAAGGTAAAACTCGACTAAGTGGGTGGTTTGAATTGAACAATACCCACAAGATATACCCAAAAGCAATCGTATATTGCTACTTGTAACACTCTCAATAATATTAAAAATGCAAAAATTACGATGTTTGTAGTTTGCTGCTGCACGGAGTTGGACGGATCTGGATGAAATTTGGCACAGGCATATGATACACTCCGGAATAGGATATAGGGTACTTTTAATCAATGTACCACGCGTGTGAAACAGCGGGCGGAAGCTAGTTTTAATTACTACGCCGTACTCTTACGTTTGCTACGCTGTAGCAATACTGCTACGACACACCGTAGTACTACTTGATTGATGCTCAAACAGGGATTTTATACTTTATTTATTTATTTTTAAGATGGACTAAATGGCACATGCATTCTCTGCCAGTCGAACCTTTGGGTGGTGTAGTAGTGATGTACTTTAATGGAATATAATGTTAATTCTTTCTTATGCTTATATCACAAAGATGATAAAAAATAAAGGATATCCCTTCCCGCCCGAACAATGTGCAAAATGAATAAAATAGTTTAAAAGAAATAGGGGCTGTCTAATCCCGGTCCCTTAAACTAAAATCGTTTAAAAACGCGTCAATTATTGTGTTTTGTTCTACAATAAAGGACAAAACAAAGGGTAAGCACAAAACATTTAGAATTTTTCGAAAGGATTTATATTCATTATTCACACTCTTAATTGTTATTCATATCTTACCAGAAATGAGCATATTAGGTAAAGAAAGTCAAATTGTATATTTACAACATAAATTCACGAAAGTAAAAAATAAAGTGGACCGTTGACTGCACGCTACTGTTGCATCAATAGTTTGTAAATTGTTAACATTTACCTATTTAATATGTGTAATGTATATACTTGAAAAATATAAAAATCAAT